CTGACAACCTTTTATCCATGAAAATATCCATGTAGAGTATTTGTACAAGCATTTATGAGAGCCAATACTTCATATGTTTGCAATATTTAACGCGTGCTTTCTGTGACATAAGAGAAACAGGAACTGCTAAACAATACTAGATGATAGGACATTTTAAGTCTTCCTTGAATTTCTAAGTACTACTATGTAATATATACATATTTAAATAATAATTGCTTTTAGAGTGAGAACAGATTTGCAGGAAAAGGCTGCTTCCTAAACTCTATTCTTTTTAGTCTGTACCCTTTTACAGACTAAATATTTTACAGAGGCAGCATCTTTATGATGCTTGTGGTTGAGCACTTTACTCTCTGTAGTCACTTCTCATTATTTACAGGATCCTGTCCAATATATAATCTAAAATCTAGGTTTGTCTCAACTGCTCAGATCAGCAAATAGGAGAGAAAACAAGAAAAAACATGATTTGTCCCTTTCCTCAGGGATAGCAGTCAACCCATCTTCAGAGCTATTCTGTGGTTCTTCTAAAGCCTGTAGTACATTTACAAGCCAAATAGTTACCAAGCTTGGGCAGTGCGGGGGGCACACCTCTGTGCCATCCTCGGAAAGGCTCTAAATGTGTTTAAGGGTAAAAATTCTCCCCAACACACCGTTTTGTTAATCCTTTTCTTATGATCTGTTTGCCTGGCTAGGGAAATTATACATAAAGAAATAAAAGTTCTAATTCAATTTCCATGTTAAGTGATGGATTTGGAGGAAAAAAAAAAAAAAGAGAAAAAAAATCAGAAACCATATTCTTTGTGTTTACTAAGAGATATGCACTCCAACATTTAGTGTCATGGAGCTGGAGTTAAAACCAGAAACGGTGAAGATAATTTAGCTGCATGAATGCCTGCTCTTCAGTAAAATGCTGCCAAAATTAAATAGGAATGAAACAGCACTTTGTAGTCATTGGTCGCTCAGCAGGGTTTGCGTAGTTAAAAACCTAAGTGAAAAGGGTGATTGACCTACATTGCTACTAGCTTAGCACAGCTGTACTTTCATATTTTCGCTGCATCCGAGGAAGCTCATTATTTAATACAACTGAGTTACGTGTAATTGTCGGTCTTTCATTTCACACTTTTAGGGGCCAGATATTAATCTCAGATGCGCGGCTTGCATTACTGTGCATCTGGAAGTATCTGTGACTGCCCATTTGCACGCAAAGCTAAAAAGATGGGACTGCACACGGTTGCACCTGAAATTAGGAGGCTGCCCAGGGGCAGGAGGACCTCACAAATATGCAGAAATCAAATGAGCAGATGGAACAGAAAGCAAATCCCCTGGCACCCCAAAGGCAAATGCTATGCTGTTTTTTCCCATTGTTTTGAGCAGAACTAGCCCAGAATGCATAACCAAAGCACATTTCACACAACCCATACCTGCGGTTTAAATAAGTAATAACCTTCCAGTTAACAACCAGTTTGATATGTTAACAGCCCAGGGGCTGTTAACATAACGACTGGTCATTAATGGCAGTAATGACAGATTTCAAAGGGAATATTTTGCTTGTAAATGGACATGCTGCCAGTCAGAACAGAGGACTGAGCAGGATAGGTTGATACATTAAGATGTCACTGCACAGCTCCGGAGGAGAGGGGGGGGGG